CATGTTATGTTCATGTATTTAGTGCTATAAATATTTCCTTATTAAAAATGATAATTGTGTTTATTGTTTTGCTTCAGCTGGTCCTGGGGCTGAAGAACATTCCCCGAGCTTTCATCAAAGCGGTGCCCAGTATTTTCCAAAAAATAACCCACACAAAGTAAGTTTCCTGACACAGTACACAGTTTTCATTAGTTGTGCGTAACCTAAGGCTATACCAGTGTTCAATTGGGATAATGCATGTTATAGGGTCAGTTTACAAGCCGCATTAATTTTACATGAATAACCATCAGAAGTTGACAGATTAAGAGGTTGGTAGATAGGTAGATAAAAATAATAGGGTCATAAAGCTCGGGCCTTATCACCTCTGAAAGTTCACTTCATCTGATGACATTTTACTAATTAAAATGTTTTCACTTCACTTGCAGCCTGTCAGACATGGGGATGGGGATTGTGTGCTTTGTGGTGCTGATTGTCCTGAAGAAACTTAAGGAGGTGGACTGGGACAAGAAGAGAGGGACCCTGCTCAAACCTCCAATGTGGCAAAAAATCCTTCGCAAAGTCCTGTGGTTCTTCGGAACAGGTATGTTCATCACCAAGGTTTGTGCTTTCTGAAAAGTTGTCAGTATGGAAACAGAAGAGGTTATGGCTTATGTACATAGTACTACATACTTTTGTACCAGTCAGACATAAAATTAATACAATGTGCAATTTAATTAAAGTCTGGACAATGTCTATTCATAGCAGTACTTCATCTGTAGCAAGTACTGATATCAGCTGTCATACTATACCTTGAGTGAAGTTATCACACAAAGACTTACGTACAGTATGTACTGTTTCATTGACATACCATGTATTTGTATCTTAGTAAGGAATGCAGTAGTTGTGGTGGCTGCATCGCTAGTGGCGTATGGCCTACTGAGCAGAGGAATCAGCACCTTCACCCTCACCAAGGAGATAAAGCCAGGCCTGCCAGGGTTCCAACCCCCACAGTTCCAGCTAGTGAAGAATGGCACGGTTGTAAAAAATGGGCCAGAGATTATTCAGGTAATACACATTATCAAACCCATTGTCAAAAAACCTGATCCTATGATTGCAGTTCTTTCCACCTTCTGATCAAACATTTTAGTTAACTGACAACACTGTTTTTGATCCTGTCAGTGCCAAGAGGCACTGTCCTTGGTGCTGAATAATTAATCCACAAAGCAGACTCATTTACACCACTTGTTAATCTCTCCAATTTTTTTTCAACAAGTGGCACGATTAACTATAGATATTTATAAGAAGGTCTGTAACACACAATAACTCCCAACAATGAGAACATCTAGGAAAGTCTTTTGATGTTTCTATCTGTAATCCCCTCTACAGGACATTGGGGTCGGTTTGGTCATTGTTCCACTTATTGGCTTCCTGGAGAGCATAGCAATAGGGAAGGCTTTTGGTGAGTTTTGCTAAAGCTACTCATTTCTCTTTTAGGTCGAGAGAAATACTGTTTAACCAACATTGTAATGCAAATTAAGAATCTTTAACCACCTATGCCTTCAATGATAGCTTTATCTTGCTGTGATTTGCTATTATCTGTACATGTCCACTTTTGAACTTGAGATCATTTTCTGTTGTTGTAACTGGGAATGGCTTGTCCCTGCTTTTTCAATATTTTAACAGACTGGTAATATGAGAACAAAACCATAGAAGTGTGTATCATACTATATGAATTATTTAATTACTGTAGTGTACACCTTTTGATTGTTTCAGCTCGTAAGGGAAATTACAGAATAGATGCCACACAGGAGCTACTTGCAATAGGTAAGAATATACAATAAGATATATATCAAAATCAATGGTATATTTCCGCATTTCATCCATCAGATATAAGAAGACTCTTACCAGTGATAACCTTGAAAAACACTTGTTTCCTTTCAGGTGTAACCAACATCTTGGGTTCCTTTGTGTCCGCCTATCCAGTTACAGGAAGCTTTGGACGGTAAAATATTATGCAATTTTATGGCTTTAACATTCTACAAAATAATCATTAAAGTTAGAGTCTAAAGCTTTCTCCAGTTTGGCTGCTGTTACCATTTCCCTAGATCATAAATCTTTTAAAAAAGTCTTCTATCCCCTGAATTTGCAGGACGGCAGTGAACTACCAAAGTGGAGTTAAAACCCAGCTGGGTGGTCTGTTCACAGGTTAGTGGCAAACTTTTCTTGAGGGACCCAGGTTAAGTTGTCCCAGAGATTTTCTTATGTGTTGTGAGAAGTACATTGTTCTTATTTCATCAGAAAATGCAGGATAAGAATTCAATTACATGTACCTTTTTTGGCCTCAACATAGAAATATTGAAAAATTAAATGTACTACATTATAGCTCTTTGCCAAGATACACTAGTCTAAAAGGCCTTCTTGTTACCAGGTCTCTTGGTGGTTCTGGCCCTTGCCTTCTTAACACCATCCTTCAAGTACATCCCGAGCGCTGCCTTGGGAGCTGTCATCATCTCTGCTGTCATACAGATGGTGGAGTACTCCGTCATTCCTGTGTTCTGGAGAGTCAAAAGTAAGTCTACATGCCTTGGCTGTTAATTGTCTAGCCTTCATAAATATGTATGTTACAATATTACAGCAGCATGTTCAAGCTTTGAAACATTTAGTACTGGTACAATCCACTTGTAGGATTCTCTGGCAGTTTTATCACTGTGAAAGTAAACATGAATTCCAAAGTCAGTCATGCATACAACACAGTCATGTACTTAAATTTTCTGTACTGCGTTCCAGCAGTGTTTTAAAATGTCTTCTAAATTGTTTTCAGAACTGGATTTGCTGGCTTTCATTGTCACCTTCTTTGGTGTTTTGCTCCTTGGAATACAGGTATGTTGTCACCTTAAACACTATCTATCCAATGTTATTTTCAATGGAAAAAATAAGTTTCTAATTGGAAACAGGTACGTTTCTATACGTACGATTTTAACTCCATGGTACAATGTACTACTGATTGTAGCATTGCTAATGTATGCATGGAACATCATGAGCCGAGGGTTAGTAACAGTTACCTCTTTACTATTGCCACATCTATTCATGACGGTTTGTGTCCATTGGATTTTGAACTATTCCATGTTGTTCCTGTTTGTTTCAGTATGGCATTGCCCTGGGCGTGGGTGTGTCCCTTATCATCCTGCTCTACCCCTCAGCTCGACCAAGGGCGACGGTGAGTTCAAATTGATGACACAAAGTCATAAAGTAAATACAAAGTACAGTTTTTTCTCTGTGCTTATCATATCAAATTTGAACACCAAAAAATAATCTTCTTTCTATGGTTTCCTCCAGGTGTACCCAGCACGTATAGCTCCTGATGATGTGTTGATCGTACAACTGGAAAGTGGGCTAAACTTCCCAGCTGTGGACTACATGAGGGATGTCGTGGCCAAAGACGCCTTCAAAGGTCTGATCTGGCTGCTTGGATTTTGTGGATCATAATTTCTAGCATTACAATACAGATGTTCTCTACTCACGTTATCAAATCAGGCTACGAGTACTTATAGTATAGTTATTCATAGAAAAAGCTCAAGCCTAATAACATTGATATCATCAACTACATGGGCTGACAGCTTAATTCCATTGCTAATGAACTTCTATTGCAGGAGACTTATTAGTTGCTGGGTTACAGAATGTATCCACATGCATCCTCAAATTCTACTAATCAAGAAGACTAACATCATGATTGAAGCAGCATAATTGAGCTTCCTTGTTCCTATTGTTTTCCACAGAGAAGCCCTATAAGAACGTAGTGATGCGGTGTTGCTGTGTGTCTGACATTGACTGTACAGTGGTACAGGCTCTGGACCAGCTCATTGAGGAGTTTGAAGCACGGGGATTGAAATTACACTTCTCTTGTATGAGAGTAAGTCACCTTCCTTTGATAGGTGATGATAGTTTTGACCTTGTGAACCTACTGGGATTTGGTTCAGTAGTAAATTGATATATATATACAGAGCAGGGCAGAAAGATTCTATGGTTCCATCACAATTACTACTAGACCATAGTGTTGAAAACACCATATAGAACAAGATGACTTGTATATGTATGTAACTCATTAGAAATTATGAATCTCCACCCTGCAAATATTGTGAGAAACAATATTTATATGTGTAAAACGTTGTAAAACTTCATGCCATATGAATTTAGAGTAGAAGTTTTCCTCTCTGTTTTACTGCAGCCAGACATCCGAGCGGCGCTGGTCAGGTCAAAGATCAAGGGTTTCAGATACTTCAAGACCTGTGAAGATGCCATTGCTGCAATGAGAGGTACAGTGGACAAACATTTTTCATTGTCACTGTTTGATGTTGAGTTTTTATAACAGAAGCTATGTGAGGGTTGTGTAAACAGAACCGGGATGAAACCATTGATTGTCTTCCTACTACTTAATTTTCCTGGACTGTTGAATGTTGCAGTATCTCTAAATCTGATCCAAAGTATGTGTGGCTAAACTGTAAACTCTTTCCTCCCTGTCTTAAATAACTTGGACAGCCGTGAGTGGTGAGTATGTTCTAACCTATGCAAGTTACTGAAAGCCTTTATTTATTTTACATATTTTAAATATTATCAGTGAATTCATAAATATCACTGGATGCATTTCCATGACCTGTCAATGACCTTCCCACAGAGCCTGACCAGGAGAATGGAGAGGTCATCATGACTGACCACGCCCTGCTGGCCAACTTGGACACACCCGACGACGACACACCCGACGATGATGCCCCTGACATTCCTGCCGTGGATGTGTCAAAAGTCACTACAGTCTGAAGAAAGCTGTCTAGATATACAAGATATGCTATACAGCTGAAACTGTGAAAGAGCGTACAGCCGAGTTGAGTGAGGGACACCGGGCGAGACAAGATCTCACTTCAGACTGCTGCTGACCGCGTGGTCAGGGGTGCTTTATTCAGTATTAATCGAGACCAGATGTCTTGACCACTCCCAACAAAAGGACACATCTCCCCTATAAACTCCTTGGAAAGGACAAGAGCAGATTTTTCCCACATACAGTTAGTGCCAGATGGTGAAAAATCATGATCATGAAAGCCATAATAGCAGACTGAAAGTATCATCAAGTATTAGAACTATTACCTCAATGCAGGAGGAGAGTTACGGGTCAAGGAGTTGCAGTGAGATTTTCTTGACACAAAAACTGTAAATTTAATATATGTTAGAGACTTTAGAGAGCTGTAAATACTTGTAAAGTAGCTATTTAATGTTGTGTTAGTTCCTCAGCAGGTTTGATCACACACCAGTTCCATCCTGTGCCAGTACAGTTGTATGTAATTTAATTACATAACTGTAGATAAGTGATGAATGTACAAATGTATATCAACCAGATCTATTTATGTAGAAATATTGCAGAATGGTTCTACACATTATATGCCTTAGTGGTAGAGATGTGAGACTGGTATGCTTTGAACAGTCTTCTCCCAGATGACATATGCCTTAACTGGTAACAAATTTGTTGTATAGGTGGACCAATAGCAGGGAGAAAGGAGCTCAGGTATACATTGTATCTATCTGATCTCTATTGTCAAGATTGTAAAAAAAGAGGGTAACCTGGGTATAACCAAGGAGGTTAACTCCATGGTATAACTGTATCGTATGTACTAAATTGTAATTTCAGACTCAGAGTCTAGTCAATGATGTAAAAATTACATGTCTGAAGGATGGTTTACTGTTTATTGCTGCAAGTTTTTAGGGCACAGGTGTCGGAGGCATCATAGATTTAGTTTACAAATGATACAAATGATAATGTGTGTAATAAAATATCTGGGTGATAAAAATAACTGGGACTTTTTCTTTACATTTATATATATTAGCCTTAGCCTCCTTCGCAGTCTTGTTCGGCGCCCAACAAGACTGCGAAGGAGGCTATATTAGCCTGTCAATAAGAATATTTTCAAAATTTGCTATTGGCAGGCTGACCCTAACCCTGCAACTAGTTATCTCTTTTATGCCTCCACGTTATATCAAGGCCCTTGGTTATATAAGGAGGTTATTAAAGAGGGAGGGAGGCATGACCAAATTTTAAATTGGGATACAATGGGAAAGTCTTGTTACCGATCACCACTGTCTGGATTATCCTGATGGCAGCTTGACCATCACCTTTGGCTGTTTTTCACGGAGTGGACTCAGGGTCAGAGTGGACTGTCTTGAAAACTCTTCGTACTTACCGCTTTCGACTGACCCATTTTGTGTAGGTTGAACATCAAATGTAATACCGTAAATAATGTCTTTACAAAACAAAATCCAAGAAATATTAAGATATTTGTACTATTTCGTTGTTTTTGTTTTCTATGGTGTCTACTATTGGTCTGCAACATTACACTTTAACACGATGTTAAGAATATTATTTTTTTAACCACCCTTTTAAGAGTGTTTGATTCCATTTCCCGCCATTCTGTACGCTGATCTTTGACCCCGACGCGTGGCAATGCGGAAGTGAAGACCCACATTCCATTCAGATGTTTGTTTACAGTTTGGTTTGTTTATAGACGGCGGGTACCGTCGCCCTTTCTTTTAAGATCATGTATTGGCTATTACAGGTGACAATGCAGTCCGTGACTGTAGTCTACATTGTCGGTTGAGTCTCCAACAAAAAAAATTGCTCCCGTCGGGTACTAGAGTATGCGGCCGGGATCGGCCGGAGTCAGTCAGGGCTGCTGATCTCAAATTATTTTCAGCAGCAGCACCAACTGGTATACTCAAATTCCTGTTTGTAATGCACTGAAAATTAGATGGTATCATCCTCTACGATATCGGTCTGATAAAAATCTGTCTGATGACAGGCCAAGCCGACATTCGACAACTCTCAGCATGTGATGACAGAGTGGAATCCTTTGAGGGGCGTGGCTCTTTGGCGTCGTAATGCCCAAGGGAAAAGTGATTAGCAACCAATTCATTTCCTCACGGAATGTGCATGCCGTAAAGAAAAACCCTGGCCGATTTTGTATCACAGAACGTTACTTCCATAAAACCATGCGATTACATCCGTTCCCGACGTCATGAGTGTGACCTTTAGCGGTATGACGTACCGGTTGTTCCGCTATCATCAAAAGACACAATAGAACGCTTGACGTGTCCATGTAATTGTGGCCGGGGCAGTGTCTAATGTCATTTGTGCCGGGATGGAAATGTCTGTCGCAGCGTTTCCAAAGCAAGAAGGACACCTGAAAACGTAGGTCATTCTGTTGTTTCCATTGTGTTCAACCTCAAGTCTGATTTGGACCTGTTCTGATTTGTTATCGTAATCAAATTTCACACTAGAGTAACGTTACAGCTACATTTGTACAGGTTGTCTATTTTGTATACGTATGATATAAATAGCTACACATCTGTAAGCCACGGTTGGTTGCTAGTATGGATTACCTGGGACTGTATCTACATATACGATATAATCATGTAATTGTTAAACTTAGCTGTATCACAGTTTCAACGAACTACTCGCTCGAAAGCACTGCGACAGAAATCGCCCGCACGGTATGTTTACCCAACATGCCTGCGTCATGCTTGTATCACAAAAGGTACCTCACAAAAAGCACTGTTCCATAATTAAGAACAGTACCGTCATCCGTACGGTCAATAACCGCTTGTACTTTTCAAATAGAGTACTTAAAGCATTACAAGGCTCTTTTCTTTTTATGCAAGTCATGCTTCTGAGTACCAAGTATTTGCATGAAGTACTAGTATTGTTTCTACAAACAGAAAGTCATTGTTGCTACACATAATGTTTAATCATTGTGCATCACTATTTCAACATTACGTTGCAGAATGAGATGCTCAGTTCATAGCTGGTGCTCATTACACTCAGGCCTCAGGTGATGTGGACACGGACTGGAGGTTTGGCAAAGGAAGTCCAAGATGATGAGGAAATGTAAGAACTATGCCGACAAGTGGGTGGATAACACCTGCTCTCTCCGATACCTGAAGAAGAGACTTCCGATCGTGGAA